CACATGGCCATCCCTGCTGCTGACCCATTTTTATTGGATAAAAAGCCACCCCGAGTGTGGTCATTAGTGGCCACAAGTTCCTTTTAAGGCTCCATTAATGCAAAAGGAAACAGGAGGCGAGGGCGCACACACATGCACACACGCCCCGCCCTCCCATTGTACAGCCCCGGCTGCCTATTGATTTCCCAGTTTGAGATCCAGCAGGCCACCGCTCAGGGAGGGGGCCAGAGGGAAGCAATTAACATTTTGAGAGCAGTTAATCTCTAATGGATCTTATCAGCAATGCTTAACAAGCAATTACCGCTCTGCAGTCCTGTCCGTGGCAAATGTCTATGGTTTCCTGAGGCGAAGCCTGTTCAGTTCCTTTCCATCTATAGGTACGTGTATAGATAAACGTACACTCCGGGCATGATGTAACCCTTCGTGAGCACCACCAGCAGAGTCTGGGAGGACATCGTGGCTGAGATGGCCACCCCCTGGCTGAGTCTCTCTCTCTCTCTCTCTCTCTCTCTGGTCTGCTGTGCCATGAGGTGGGGGAACCTTCGCTAGTCCCAGGTTCAACAAAAGGGGGTCCCCTGAGCGGGCTGCCCGTCTTGCTGCTCTTCGGGGCTGTGACCGCATCCTTCCACAGCTTAGAAAAGCTACCTTTCTGGGCAAGGACCCCCAGAATCCTCTAGCCAGCGTGGCCCCTGGAGGGGGGGAGATTCTTGGGGCACTCACAGAGGAAAAGGAGCTTCTCCAAGCTCTGCTGGAGCCTGACAGGCAGGCAGGCGGGCAGACAAATGGCCTGCCAGAATGGATCACCACCAGCCTGAATCAGCACATCGATACCTACCGCTCCCAAAGCTGCTTTATTGCAACATCTTCTTGGCAATTAATTTGTCCCAGGGCTGATTAGTTAACTGTGCTTTCCTGTGTGTGTGTTTTTTCCCCTGCTGCCCCCTCTCTTTTTCTTAATAACAAGCCGGTATTAATGACAACTCAATACGGCTGGGTGTGTTCATTGCCAAGAGGTTCAGTTCTGCAGGGCGCTAAATATCAATACAGAAGCTTTCCCTTCCTGAATCAGATCGTAAGCCCAGGAGAAGGCCTTTAATCTAGCCGTTCAGACAAGGGCTCAGGGGAAGGAGAGAAATCTCCCCTGGTTGTTGCCCCCCCTTCCTCTTCCCTTCCCTCAACATGAACGGCCTTTCTATTTCATGCAACTCCACTCTCTGCTTCTTAGAGCCTATGGCTCAGCAAAGAGCAGAACAGATTTTGGACTCATGAACGGTGGAGGTGCGTCTCTGACCTCTCCTCTTGTCCCAAAAGCTAAAATGCACAGCCTGTGGTGGCAGAGGGTGAGATTTGAGGCAGGGAGGGAGGGGAGAGCTAGCAAGCCTGCATTTCTTCTTTACTGCCCCAGGGTTCAAGGGCAGAATCGCAGCATTTACGCTGTGCCTGATTTAATGATTATCCAGGGCGTGGCTCAAATCTGCCCTGGGCTTCTCCACTGAACCTCCTTATCATTCTCAGATGTGTTCTTGAATCCCTACATCCAATTCACACAACCAGACTGGACATAATCAAGTCCCATTAATGGCTTCAATAAAAGCCTAGGTGTGCCCTTTAAAAAGTAACAGAAAGCATGGCTTCTGGAGGCAATTTCCTGTCACATTGCTTTGAAAACATGGCTTTGTTATCATCTTATTATCTGAAAGAAGTAGTTTGTTACAGGTAAGGTTGTGACAGGCAACGGCGCTGCTCACATCTTGTTTGTCTCTCTCTCCAGATTCTGGGCTCTGGCTGCTGAGATAGCAAAGCAGATGGAGGAACGTGGAGCCAAATTTGGGAGTAATGAACATTGAAGGTCACCTGTAATGTGTGGCCCTGAGTGTAGCATCTGGGCACCGCCGATGCATGCAGCAATCAGAGCCACAGCCGTCTGGATGAGACCGCTCCCCTTGGGTGGACTGGGGTCAACGGATGCCATGAAGGGCCTTGGGCTCCGTCCAGTGGCATCTCCCCCACAGACCCCTTTTGTGGGGCTGGCTGAAAGAAGCTGGCAGAGGAAGGGAGCTGGTGTTCCTCCCAAAAAAGAAGCCACGGGCTCCTTCTGGCACCACGGCAGGCCTGCCGTCCCATGGCAGCTGCCTTCTCTGAAGGAGACGCTTCCTCTTTCCTGGCTCCGCTGTGCCATCTCTGCCTCGCTGGGACCACCTCCCTGCGCAGGTCCCTCCGTGGTGCTATTTCAGGTGTTCTGTCACTTGATGCTGCTGCTGGACCTCTTCCAGGTGACCCCGTGGCTGTCGGTGTGTCTGAAACCTCTCTCCTGGATGGGAGATCAAAGTGCAGACATGTGATCGTTTGACTCTTTAGCAAGGGAGCCCCGTTTTCCAGTTGGGTGAGTTCCTGGCAGAGCCGTTTCTGACTCCTTTGGGGCAGGCGCCAGGGCTGTGCACATGCAGCCAAGCCGGGTTCGTCTGGCAGGGTTTCCATCCTGTGCCAGATAAGCTTGCCAGTCGGAGAACTCCTCCCTGCTCTCCAGTCCAGGAAATGCTCAGCGGGAAGGGCCTCCCGTTCCTGAATGCCAGACGGCTCGGCCGTGGAGCGTTCCCCCTCGTTTTCCAGGTACCCTCTGGCTCTCTTGTAAAGCCAAGCAAGGGGAAGGCAGAACAGGGACTTTCTCTGAATGCAAAAAGGGAGGTGGAGGGGCTGCCCCCCAAAAAAATCATGGGATGTGCAAATGGCAAATGCTCTGAACAGCTGTTGACAGTCTAAACTGACACCAGGGAGCAAAGCCTAAGTCCCAAGAAAAGGGCCAAGGAGAGGGGGGGAAAGGGCTTCCAGCACTGGGCAAGCAAACACAGGAGCAGCCTGGCCTGGCCTGGCCTGGCCTTGTGTCCCCCCCCCCCCCCGCATCTGACAGAACTAGTTGGGGGAAGGGGAGAGAGACCAAAGGAAGGCTAGTTCCTTCTCACACCAAAGATCAATGCCTTAGAATCCCGCCAGCCTCTGTGCTGTTTGTTAGGCATTACGGAAGGCCCATCACCTCGGCCGGCCATGTTCAAATGCCCTCAGATTTACTGATTTAAACACCAAGTGCCGAAGGTGAGAGATCCAAGGGTCGGCTGGGAAAACACAGTTCATCTCCAGCCTCCTACCTACTATCCACAGTGTCTCCCTCAGTGTGGAGGCGTGAAGGCCAAGGAGAAGCTTTGCACAGGCAAACAGACAGTCAGAGAAGCAATAAGCCCCTGCATGAGGGCTCTCGGCTGGCTGTGCGGAAGGCGGGTCCGTGGGTCCCCCCGTGGCTTGGCTAAGCTCCCTTCTCCGGTGCGTTCTAACCTCTCTCTGCAGCCTTAAGGCCTGGACGACATGCACGCTGGGCCAGAGAAAGAAGCTAAGCTTCTTAGGAATCCCTGCCCGTTCACAAATCCTGTCCCTGTGTGACATACGATCATGAAAGATGTGAGGAAACCTCACAGCGCCTTACGCACTCTGCATTGTGCAGCTCCATCCTTTTGCATTCTTCAGGTTCCTGGTTCCCGGAAAATGTCTCAGGAGGGAGGAGGTAGCCGGGCGCCCGCCAGCTGGGGTCTCATCCACCACCTAGACCACTTGGTGATGACCGTGAGGAGCGCGGAGGACACAGTGGCCTTCTACACTCACGTCCTCGGCATGGAAGTCGCCTCCTTCAAGGTACCGCAGCCGGCACGGGCAGCCCTTACCAGGGCCAGAGGCTGTGAGGAAGGAGGAAGCTCACCTTATTTATTTGAACAGGTTATCATACCTTTCCATTAAAAGAGGCACAGGGCTCAAGGGGGCTTACGCCGACCATAGAAAAGGACAGTAAACGATCATAACGCTGTTTTGAAAGCAATTATAATCAATGACCTAAAAGCCTCCCATTTGGCTTCTGTTGGGGAGGGGTACCCAGGTTCCCAGTGGGGAGGGAGAGCAGAGGAGCTTCTGATTTCAAAGTATGGATCCAAAAATGAAAGCAGAAAGTCAAAGTTAATGAATTGGTTAAGAGGTTGCATTGGTTAAACTTCAGGTTTGCTGAGATTTTCTCCTGGCCGCTGCTCAGAGTTGGTCTCCTTTTGCTTTGTTAACAGGGGGACCGCAAGGCCCTGCATTTTGGGAACTAGAAGTTTAACCTCCACGAGGTGGGAAAGGAGCTTGAGCCCACGGCCCATAAGCCGGTCCCCGGTTCCTTGGACATCTGCCTGGTCACGGAGATGCCGCTGGAGCAGCTGATGGAACACCTCAAGGTCAGGGGCTGTGACTCCTCTGGAGCCGTGGCCTGAGGGGGTGCCAGAAACCCTTCCCCCCCGCCACCCTCCGCAAAAATTACATACTCCCCATGTGTGACCTTGGGCATCGCCAGGGTGCCTTTTCAGGCCCACCGCTTCCGTAATTGCAGATGGGTTGTGGGCATTCGGGTCCTCAAAATAACTTCTCCGAGCTCTAGCTCACACCTGTCTTCTCTCACCACCCAAGCGGAGACAGAAACCAGCCGGAGGTTCCAAACTTAGTTTGTCCAAAGAGAAAATGTGACCCCTCCCACCGTAAGAATGGCAGTCCGCAGTAGGGACCAATGGAACCTGGGGACGGTCTAACGGACTGCACACACAGGTGTGTCTCCACAGTGAGACATTTTCTTCCTGCAGGAAGGCAGGGAGGACGACACGATGGTCTAAACAGGGTTCAGCCAAGAAGGCTCTTTGTGGTCCTGATGGGATGGAAGAAAAGGGCTGAACTCTGGCAGGCCTCTTTTCTCAGTCTATTCCCCCTCTGCTTTCTTGCAGGCCTGCAGGGTAAAAATTGAAGAAGGTCCGGTTTCCAGAACTGGTGCAGTCGGCCCAATAACATCCGTTTATTTCCGAGACCCAGACCAGAACCTGCTGGAGGTCTCCAACTACAACAGACCATTAGAGCCACAGTAATCTCCCTCTCTGGGGTTGGCAAAAGCCACACTTTGGGTCAGAAAAGGCAGCTGTGGCTGCAGCCAGGCCCTGGTGGCTTCCTTCCTACCCAAAGATCTGTCCCACCCCCCCCCACTCCCAGGAAAGAGGACCAGAAGGCAGGCAGGCAGGCCGACATTCAAGGAGACTCAGACCCACCAGCATGGACCGCCTTTCCATTCTGAGGCATCCATGCCCCACCCAGGAGTGCCCAGGGCTGAGTAGCAAAACAACACCTCTTTCCTCAGTCAAAGGTCCCACATCACTTTCTGGCTCATCTAGATGAATAAACCTGCCCGTCCAGTTTATAGGACTGCCGCCTTAAGTGGGGGGTCAGCACAAGTTTCAGGAGTCACCTAGGACTGCTTGGACTCAGAATCCTGAGATGCTGGCGATTTGTTTTAGGTGGGATGATGGGCTGGAAGAACAACAGAGCCCAAGTCACCCATTGAGTGGAAGGAACACAGACCTCCAAAGGCCAACTCGTGTCTTCAGGGGATTTCGGCAAAGAAATGGGGAGGGGGAACTTTAAAGATGAATGCATTTTATTCAGCGCCATAAATCTCCAGATGCCACCGAAACCATCTTTAAGCTCTCACTGGATTCTTGGTCGTCGTTCCATAAAAGGGAAGGCAGGTCTCGCTTTTGCCACTAGATGGGAGCCTTGCTTTTCTCAAAAGGGCCTGTGTCGTCCTCCTCCAGGGGCCTGCTTGGTCCATGCCGGGCACCCTCTCTCCAAGGCTGTGTGGAAAGACCTATCCAGAAACTTGGGGCAGGAGAGGGCAGGGCAAGGGGGGGCCAGCTCTGTCAATGGGCGGCAGGGCCTTCTCCACACATACACGTGAGCGAGAGGCCCAGGTTCATTTTATGCCATCTTTTCTCCATCCTGCCCTATCCCTTCTCCTTTCTACCTCTTCCTCTCTGATGTCTTTGCATCACTGCCCAACTAAACTGGAAACATCTCAAAGGAGAGACTTCTCTCCCTGCTTATGCTGCTCTACAGAGTTCCATCATTAATGGCATTATGATTTATGGAGTGTCCATACTTGATTTGTGCATTTAGGCACACAGAAGGTCTGCACCCATTTCATTCCCCCGTGTTGCAACATGGCCAGGTCTTGCAGCACTGATGTGCTACAATGTTTGACAATGAGGTCGTCTACCCCCCCCATGCACGTAGAAGGGCCAGGCTTCCTTCTGATGGGGTTAAGGGGCACCTGGTGATCTCCACAGAAAAAGGTCTACAACGCCAAGCCAAGCCAGATCACCAAATCTCCTGGGACTCCAACAAGTCACCAACCAGTCAAGCTCATGACATTCTCCCACTGATAACCACTAGCCTAGAATCAACCCTGTGAAACAGACAAGGACAGGAAATGGAGCCGAGTCATCCTTGAGGAATAGAAGGAAGCCGCCTGTGGGAAAGAAGGGGCGGTCCGGAGGGTCCCTTACAGCCCACTCAAAAAGAGTTGCAATAAAGACACTTTTATAACCGGGATGTTCAGCAGAGAACATATCTGGTGCTGGTGTTGGCTGGGCTTGAAAAGGTGTGTGTGTGTGTGTATGCTGCATTGCCAGTGAGAGGCTTCCAAACCCTTTTGCTGGGGTTGAGAGGGGAGAGTTGAGGGCTGCTCTGGCTGCAGGCTCAGAATGCCAAGCAGGAGCAACCCTCATCCCCCCCAACACACACACCTTCTTTTATCACCATGGACAGCTCCCAGGGCTTCCCTTGGCAGGTTGATAGGGGGCCTCCAGCAGCCCCTTGGCTCCTGGCACTGCCCCCAAAGGCCTTTCTGTTGCTTTCTTGCTTCTGCCTTGCTCTCCGGGGTGGGTGAGCGGGCTATCTTTAATTTCCTCTTTTGGCCTCATCAACACAGCTAAAAGCCTGCCACAAGCCCTGGAGTCAATAATGCTGCTCAAATCCTGCAGTGGCAGAACCAGAGTTCCCTCCGGACAATAGACTCAAGCAGTACACTTTCCTGCAGATAAATTTTAGTGCTTTTATTTAGAAGGTTTCTGTACAAATAATTTATAAGCTTATGATTATGCAGTGTATTGACATGGATCAGCCATGGTGCAAGGAATCAAAAGATAGACATGTGGCTTTCCAGAGGCTGTGGCCTGGCCTGGATCAGATTCAGGCATGACCCGTGGGAACTGCTGGAGATTGAGATCACTCCACCAGTCTTTGGACTCTTAAATTAACCATACATGCCCTGTTTTTAAGAGCAATTTTTAAAACCCTGATAACTAACATTTCCCAAGAACCGACATTCTTGTAATAATACAAAATGACAACACTAGGTATAAACTTTGGGAAACAAAGTGTCTGATCTTCACAAGCGAAGACCTTTCTCCCTCAGGCCAAACTATTGCAACGATATGGATTCCTCTTTCCATCTGACCAGCAGAACTTTCTGGGATCCCCATAAATTCTGTCAAGGGGTTTTAGAAAACCCATCGGGCCCTCAGAAATTACAGCTGGGAAGCCAGCAGAGAAGCATCCGAGAGCTTCTCCAGGTTGTCCACGGTTTCGACAATGCTGTCTACGTGGCCTTCCGGAAGCACCCGAGAGGCATTCGATCGGAATTTCTGCAGGAGTGACTCTCTGCCCAAGGGTTTCCTCCAGTGCCCGTGGAAAGTATCGCATCGGCCGGTCAGGATGTCCCCGTTCGGCAGGACCACGGCCACTTCTGCATACATCTTGTCAAAGTTGGCCACATTGTCCTCCGGGTGCTCCACCACCACCTTGGAGAGGAGCTCCCTCAGCTGCTCCCGGCGGAGGTTCTCCTCACTGAAGGACGACAGGCCCAGTTGGCCGTCCAAGAGGGTGGTGCAGGCACTGAACTGGTACGAATGCCTGGCCTCGTGCTCGCTTGCAGGGAATGGCCTGTTAATGTACTTGGAGGCAGGGACTCTCAGGAGGATGGTGTGGATGGCGGAGGGGGAGAAGGCACCAGAACAATTGACTAGGAGGCTCCTGGCCGAAAGGGCCGCCTCCGCCACCCAGTGCATTCCCAAATGGGCCGGGTAGCTCTTGAAGGCAATGTCCTGCTTCTCCAAGAGGAACTCGTGGCCGTCGGTCGGCAGGGTGAGCGGCCTGGGCTGGTAGTCGCCGTAGAAGGCACCGAACCCGGCACAGCCAGGATCATCATCCAGAATCAGTGGACTGGCCTCTATCCCTCGGGCTGCCAGGAGAGCCGCTTCCAGGCCAAGGCGGGCGGCATTGCCAACGTGGAAGGGCTTGGCTGAGGTTGCTGCATTCGCTATGGGGGCCCCCGCCAGGGAGGCCGCGATGGCCAAGGCGTGGCCACACTGGGCGGGGCCGAGGGAAAGGAGCTTGGCGGTGGCGGCGGCGCTGCCCAGGGTCCCCACCACGGAGGGAGGGTGGAACCTGGAAAGGAAGAGCCAGAGGCAATCAGGGAGGCCAGACGGGGATCACACACACACCCCGATGGCCCTCAACGGTCAGCTGGGGAGAACGCCTTTTGCGGGAAGTGTTTTTCATAGGCCGAGAGAAGGAAGCCTCGGCCGTATTCTTCAGAGCAGGGGAAAGCTGCTTTTTGGGGGGTGGATTGTGTGAGGGCAACAGCCATGTTGACTGGAAAATTCAGGGAAATGCAGTCCAAAAAATACTGTTTCCAAACTTTAATCCGTAACTCACATTGAACAGAAAACATCATTCAGTCTCAACAGCTATAGACCCGGCCGTTCTTCTGGCCACCCTCCTTTTCTCTTTCTTCCTAGGAAAATCAGCAGTGGCCAGGAGTTTCCCGAGAATGGGAAGAGGCTGGTTTCCCCAAGATATGGCAAAGCAAAAAAGAGATCTCTTTCACCCAGCTGGCCAAGCTCAGCAAGTTGAAAAGCTCAGGTATGCAAGCCTTTGGGTCACACAGAAGTAGCCACCAAGCAGCTGCTCTTCTCTGCATGTTTGGTTCCGAATAATGATGGCCTTGATTGTCCATTAGTGCAACTTCCAAAGATTCTCGGGCCATATTTCTCCCCCCCAAGGAACCAACGGGATCAGCACCAGTCCCAGAAATGACCGGGGTGTGTGTGTGGGGAAATAACATACAAACTTGCACACGAACACACACAAACAACCCCCCCCCAAAAAAAGAAGGTTCTCAATGGGTTTTTTGTTTGTTTGTTTGTTTGTTTGTTTTTTCTGGTTTCCTTCCTTTTTCTCACCTGCCTAGCTTTGGGATTTGCGAAATCTGCGCTTTCCTTCTGGATAGAACTGCCACCCTTGAAGGCTTCCAGGAAAGGAAAACCCCGTTTTGGATGGAATATTTTATTTTTGCAGGCAGGGGCATCTGGGCCAGTCAAGGGCTTATATAAAAAAAGAAGGGCTTATCCTCTTTTCTACCTCTATTTTACCTTTTATTGTACTATGGTGTTTAAAGCACATTTTGAATGATTTCCTTGCAAGTAAGAGTGAAGAGAGGAGGCAGAACCTTAGTGTCCTCAAAGATCAGGTCAAAATATTTGGTGCCTTTGCTCCTGAACCCCTTGCTTTCACCCCGTACTACCTCCACACCTCATGCCAACCATCCTGCCTTACCCAAAAATGGCTGAAGCAACCCAAATGTCACCTACAAGCCTCCCACCTCACCCACGAACGGGGGCCGGCCTCTGGCTAACGATGGAGGACCAGAAGCCCTTGTACCTCTTGGGGATGTCATGAGCTTCACGGGAGAAGCCCAAGAGCCGGCCTTGCACTTCGATGCCCACATTAAAGGCCAGCAGGAAGTTGAGTCCACTGGGCCGGGAAGCGGCTGGCAGCATCTGGGAGGTGGCCAGAAGAGCTGGCAGGACGGCTCCCGAAGGGTGAGTGGCAGGGTGCCAAGTGTCATCAAAGTCCATCGAATGAGCCTGCAAGAGAGAACTCGGCCATCAGGAGGAACTGGGAGGGCAGCTCAGTCTGGCTGTTTGCCCAGATCCAGCCTGGTGCCCTCCAGGTGTGTCAGGTGGAGGCAAGTCTGCAGTGAGTCCTCAGGCCAACAAAGAGTGCTTGCATCACAGGGGAAGGGATGCATAGACGACTTGAAGGAAGGAAGGAAGGAAGGA